CAGCTAAAAATACAAATAATATCAAAGAAAATCAAAAAGTACAGAATCCCATTGTTTTCATGAAATAATAATAATAATAACAACAGTAATTGGAAATTTAGAAACAAAACGATTTTAAATAATGTGAATTTACTGCAATATATTCAGGAACCATAGAAAAAATAGAAATTCCAAACACAATGAACAAGAGAAAAATTTTGAAATGCCAGTGAACTACTTTCCTCAAGAGCTTTTCACACAAACACACGCAGAGGACAAAACTCGAAATCCTAACAAAGATAAATCAAATCTACGCATTGAGATATTCCTATGACTGTAATTACTGCATTAAAAAAATGAGAATATAAATGAAAAAAGTGTAGAAAATGAATCAATTATAAAAAATAAACAAAAATTCTTAATGCAGATAGAATTTGATAAAAATTGTAACCCAAATAATTCAGTATTTATTGGAAAACACTCGTGCAATGATGACAATTTGTTCATTAATTCTATTGTAATGAAACACTTGATCAATAGTATCAGTCAATTAACAATAAGCAAAACTGAAAACCTTAGTGTATTAATTTTACATTGTAAAGTTATTGAGGAGATTTTTAAAAGAAATGATAATTTTTAATATTTATGGATTTTCATGTGCTACATTTTATAACGTTTTTAAGCGGATTATGAAAGTAAAAACTTTTTAAATTGTAAACCTTAATCCTAGCAATACTCAATACTGGGTATTTTCAATTAATAATTGATTTTTATTTAGTGATACAATATTTATTAACAATGAAAAAATATCAAACGAAACAAATCGAATACATATATTCCAAAATGTCTTTACTCGACAACAATTTGTCTTGAACTGACTTTGGCGAAAAGTTATTCCTATGACCAATATCAAAAACAAAAATTAAAATTAGAGTTGTTACGTAGGCACAGCACTTTTAATTAAATTTTAAATCTGAATAGAGGAATATTATACCAACATAAAACAAGGACTAATCAAAAATATATAAATTCTTGCGAATTGATTAATTACACCATGGGTCCGAGTTTTAAGATAATCATCTGCTAACCATAATTATTTGCACAAAATTAATTTGGCGTGTAGCAAAAGTGTAAGCAACAAGTAAATGCGGAATTAGTTCGGTTCAATCAAACACAGGTTATAAATCCGTAATTAGTTCGAAGCAGTATGGTTTATATGGTCAGGATATTCTCATTTGAAATTAGTTCGGATTTAATTAATCCATTTTGTCATTATTGGTGACCATTGGTCAGAAAGCCCATGGCAAATATTTGTTTAAATAAAAATCAAATAATAACAGACAATAAAAATGATGCAGTTCATCGAAATAAAAAAAAAATTCGATACTTCGTAGCATGTTTTATGAAGTTAAAACCAAATCTTACCTTTATTCCTCAGATCAATTTCTCATAAAGATTTTTAACTTGAAGAAATTTTCTACCAATTTTAAACGCAAATAAAAGGAAACTTCATTCAAATATAATAACCGCGACCTTTTTCTATATCGAAACAAGAAATGAATTAATAGCAATAAATTCCGCTGAATATAGAAAATGAAAAGATATCGTCGGGATTTCTTTGCATAAGAAATTTCAGCAACAAGAGACTGAAAATCTAATGAATTATCAATTTTTTCAAAAATTGATTTTAAATCTCGCTTCGCGACTCAAACTACTCTAAAAGGAAAAATATTTCAACATTATTAATCGGCGAAAAGAGATAATTAATTTACACTCTGCAATAAGATTAAATTCTTGAAATTTTAATATTCAGTAAATATAACTATGAGATAGGTTTTTTTGTACATTGTTCTACTGAGACAGTCTACCTATGATTCTTTTTTTATTACCACAATTCTTGTCAATCTGAAAGGAAAGTCAACCGAATCCACAACGATTATATGGTTACTCTTTAATTAAGAGGGTGGATAATGCAACCTATTGCTGAGAATTTGTCTTCCCTCTTTGTGAAAATTCTGTATAAAACGTCCATCTATACCAGGAGAGTTCAGTTCAGATTTTGGTATCAGCACGTCATCTTCATATACAAAATTTTGTACAAGTACTGTTACTCTGTCCAAGTTTATACTTACGGTGGTCTTAGAAGAATTTCTGTGTCAAGTGTTAAAAAGTTTCTACATCAAGAAGAACTCATCCAAGTATTCAAGGATTTGACTTTGCCATAATATTTGGAAATCATCTTTTCTTCTTCTTCTGAAAGAATTTCATTATTTGCGTTTTCGTTATGGTCAACTAAATTCTGAACCAGTGGTCATCACCAAGGCCCGTCAACCTTTCTGTGAGCTCATAAACGACATCTGGTACCAGCCGTTTTTGCCCATATTTAAGGAAACATCAGTGGTCATTTCCTACATCTTATTACTAAATTTTTAAGATAAGTCTTTTTATCTCTAAATCCTTCCTAACTCCTTATTAAAATTTGTAGTAACCTTACATTCCTTGTTGTAGTGGAATGGTGACTTCCTTTATTTCCGAAACTGGTTGCTTCAGGATACTCTCTTTCTCTCAAAGATCAATTTTATAACTCTAAATATTTTTCTAAACACAGAAAAAAAGGTGGGTAAAAAGTTGTAAAGATAGAGGATAAAAGTCGTTAGGATACAGGGTAAAGGATAAATTGCATGTAGAAATATTTTTCCTATAATTATTGTCTAGTAATAAAAATATCTTTGACTAATACAACTAACAGCTGACGACAGTGCGTAAATAACCAGAACTGGGAAATTGCAACTCAACGTCTGTATTGTTGCACGAAAGCAGAGTTGGGTAGTAACTGAATTTTTTGTGCATATTAGGCTGTGTCAGTTCATCGAGATATTTCGAGTTCAAGATATGACGTCAGAGGCCTGGAGGGACAACAAACAGACGACACAATGTTATTCTTACGGGGAAGAAAATTTGTTTCCACATTCATAAATTTTATTCATACTTTAAACACGGAAAACGCTTGTTGACATATAATAAAATTAAAATGTGTGTTCATAATTAATTTTGTTATATACATATTTGATTCGATTGCATTTATAGATTCTCTGAATTCGTAATAAAATATAAATTTTGAGGTTAGGGGTGTTTGTTTACTAACTTGAAATCTTTTACTGCTGCGGTAATTCCCACTTAAAATATATATTTTATATCTTTTTTAATAACATGCATACTGGATATTGTTTAAAGTATGAATAAAATTGATGAAAGTGGAAACAAATTTTCTTCTCCGTAAGAATAACATTGTGTCGTCTGTTTGTTGTCCCTCCAGGCCTCTGACGTCATATCTTGAACTCGAAATATCTCGATGAACTGACACAGCCTAATATGCACAATAAATTCAGTTACTACCCAACTCTGCTTTCGTGCAACAATACAGACGTTGAGTTGTAATTTCCCAGTTCTGATTATTTACGTACTGTCGTCAGCTGTCAGCTATATTAGTCAAAGATATTTTTATTAATAGACAATAATTATATGCAAAATATTTCCACATGCAATTACTTATTTATATAAAATTTGTGGATTTAATAAGTTAAGTGTAAAATTACTAATATTTTTATTAAAATTAGACAGTTTACTCAAATATGACATCCATTTTTCTAGTAATATTTTAGTAACATTTTTATCCATGACAAATTTATCCTTTACCCTGTATCCTAACGACTTTTATCCTCTATCTTTACAACTTTTTACCCACCTTTTTTTCTGTGTAATTAATTTGTAACCGTGTCATTGAAAATCAATATTTTCTTTCTTCCCTGTACCCTGTATCACATTTGTAACACCAACAATAAAAATTGTGTTAAAAATAATAACAAACCAAAAATTTTAACACTCTTTTTCTATTTAGTTTATATATAAAATGGTAATTTAAGCCATTTTAACAGCTTTTATTCTAATTGTCTTTATAATATTCAAATTAGCATATATTTAATATAGTAAAAAAAAAACTATATCCAATGAATATTACCCTAATTCACAAAATGTTATTCTTTATCTCCAAGAACTTGGAAACATTGACATTATGCAATAATCACATTCATGGACAGTCCAGTTTCTTCCGTAGGCATTCTTATTCGAATTTGTATAATTATATTCCATTTTCTTATCGACCTTTCAAATCAATACAGGCGCAAAGGCCTGGACTTATGTCCCGTATATAATTGCAAAATTCTTTGTATATTCCCTGTATACATGTATACTTACATGGGTTTTTTTTTCTTACCTTATATCAAAACGTGTCTATGGATAAAAAAAAAAGAATCAGTTTTCATTAAAAACTTGTCTATAGTGCATAATTTTCCTTTACACTATATGAAATTATATTTTAACGAATTACTGTCATTTTTGTGCGAACATTAAATCTGCATATCTTCCATTTTCTTTAATTGACCTTTTTGCTTTAGCATATAAGACATAATTTTAAGTAAAAGAACTGAATTTATAAATATATTTCCACTCACTCACGCGCTCCATATCTCTATTAAATTTTTTTTTTCTACATGTAACTTGTCTCTGTTTTTATATAATTAAGCAAGAAATTTTCACGTTATGCATGAACTATATTATAATAAACGACAGTGAATTGATTAATTATATGCTTTTTTATTTGACTACAATAATTACTATGATGATGATGATAATAATAAAACTGATAATATTAATAATAATAATAATACTAATAATAATAATACTAATAATAATAATACTAATAATACTTATAATAGTAATAATAATTATAATAGTAATTATAATAATAACAATAATAAAGATAATAATAAGTGAGGCTGTCGAGTAAAAAGAAATTGTATTCAAATACCGTTAGTATATTAATGAAGAGAATTTTTTGAATGGGGAAAGTATGTAATTTTTTTTTCAGAAAAGTGCGGTTGCGTAAAACTTGCGTGCAGAGTCTGTAATTGTTTGGCTTGGTGATAGGAAAGGATACTAAAACTAATCGTTGTTACACGAACCTGATGTGACGCCGAGTACAAATTATAATCACGATAATCGCAAGTGTTTCGTTACGAAGCCCCCACACACCAACAACAACAGAGACCACACATATATATATATATATATACCACATTGAAAAACATGGTATTTTATTTTTCCTCACAGGCGAGTTTCTCGTTTAAGAGTATATCTATGTGAGCATACAGGGATTTCAATATATCTGTATATACATACAGTTGGGCGGAGTACGCAGGGATTCTTACACAACAAATATTATGTTATCATGCTGAACTACCAGCTTGTTCGTTCGCGGTTAGATTTTGCCATTTCGTTTTTCTTCCAAGTTTTACGCGCGCTCTTTTGCTATGCTTCATTAGATTTTACCACTTTAAAATGTGTCAGCTTCTAACCATTTATGATTTTTCTAACTCTTCATTTTGTATTATGAAATCGTGTGGATAATAATTAATTACTGTTTTTAAAAGATTTTGACGATTTATTTTTTAATTTTCTCATTGAATTAGTGCCATATGAATTTTATATATATATATATACACAAATGACAACTCCAGATTTGATTTATAAATTTAAACATTCCTCACAGAAATACGTGGCCAATTTTCGATATAATAAAATTTCTATTTTTTTAGGAACGAAAAAGTACCGATTTTTTGTTTGAAAAATTGACTTGTAATTTCAAAAGTTCGACAATTTAACAAAAATGTATATTTTTAAAATCGTCCACGTATTTCTGTAGCTATTCTAATGTAAATTAAGAAAAAAAAATTTTATTTTATTCCAGATTAACTTTTGCAACCTGTGTGCTGCTTGCAGTGGAACTTCTCCAATAAAAACCATTTTTGAAGAACGGCTGTAAATCCGCTATTTTGTAACTTTTTTAAATAAAAAAAATATTTTTACAAATATAAAAATATGCTTAACAATATCCTTCAATTTAATTATCATTCTATTTCTCCTTCGACGAAAAAAATAGCAAAAAAAACATTAAATTTTAGCCTTCTACAGTGGTGTAACTTCTTAATTCTAATACAACTTCCTGCTCTTAATCAAGTTAAATTTACAATTTAATTACAAAATTAAGGTTTTTGTTTATAAGTAAAAGTAAGAAAAGATGGTTAACGTTATACAAGAGAAAATAATATTATTCATTGAATTAAAAAGCGTGCTATTTAATAATTGTATATACTCATTGTTGCTCCTTAAGGGCTTTTAAATGTCATCCAAGTTGTCCTACGGTTATATTTCATAAAGAAAACAAGTCTCTTAAGTACGAAAACTCCTTCCCTTGAGTAAAACAAAATAACAATTAACTACTTCCTAACAAGATTATTATATACATTATATTCAGTAAAATATATATATACAAATATTACTAAAACTAATTTTCTTACAACTTATCCACTATATTAATAACTTTTTTATTTACGTTGCTTATTTTATAAGTCAGTATAACATTTTTGGTGTTTAATAATAAAATCACTAAATCTAATCAATTTATATGTTTCGATCATTATTTTTATCCAAACCATCGAGAAATGGTTCATCAATTAAAAATTGACTGCAGCAATTCTCGAGTCATTAACTCGACGTATGCAGATTTTATTTAATTTGAAACCAATTACCGATGATGATTTATTTACAAAAAAAAACATAAAACATGTATTTTTTAAAATATACCTGTAATTAAAATATAATTCCAGATCATATTAGTAATAATTAAAAGAAACTATTTATTATTCATATTTCCAATATTACGCTGTAGTAAATATGAAGTATTCAGAAGTGTCTGAATCAGGTAAAAATTTACCAACAGAGAATTAGAAATTTACATCTTTAATTGTTTCCAGCATAGTGGGATTACTAATAGCGCTAGTCGCTATGTAGCGCTTTTGTTATTTAGAATTAAAAACTTACATATTTTTAGTGAAATTTGTTCCAAATCATGGCCAAAATAAAATACCGTTGACAATTTCTTCAAAGCTTAAACTGCAAGATGGTAATTTAGAAGAAAATATACATTCATCCTATGAAAAAGATAATAAATATAAATGCAATAAATATTTAATTATTAATATAAAAAAGAAAAGTAAATAATTTATTATTATTGGATAAAGTTGAAGTATTTTCTTGATTTTTTGTAAGGATAGAAATTAGAAATAAAAGTGTTAATATAATAATATTAATAATTATCGTTGCCTCGAATTACCTTTTTATAACTTTTGAGATTTGAAGTGTTACACTTGAAAAATTTGTCAGCTTTTTAGATACTTCTTTTAATTGCTTCATTTCTTCATCGTGGGAAATCCTTATGAATTTGATACATTCTTGATTCTAAAAAAAATTGTTAAATTATAAAATAAAGCAAATATGAGAAAAAAAATACACAGAATAACAATTGTACCAACCTAAATCTATCAAAATGATACCATTTTTTTAAGTCACCCGATAGCTAGAAAATTTTTTAATGTGAATGTAGCTTTGAATCGCTACGTAGCGAAATCTTCATAGCGCTGTCGCTATTTGTAATTCCACTCCAGTATACTTCACCGTCCGACAAAATTCAACTTTTTTTTTTACCCACAAAAAAATCCAACATTTTTGGAAACTAGGACCCAAAAGAAATACCCATATCTGGCCGTTTTGCTACATCAAGTCGTTTGTGGTTTTTAGGGGTGAAAACAACCCCTAAATGAAAAGTTACAAGATATCTTTTAAAAATTATTAATATTTTATAAAACTTGGTTGCTGGTGGTTTTCGGGGTCACTGATTATTAATCTTATGTCAGATTTTCAAAATTCAAAATGGTGGATTCAATATGGCGCTCAAAATTTTAAATAGTTATTAAATTTTTTTTAAACCTTGATATCTAGGGATTCTTTGGGTCGCTGATGACGAATCTGATGTTAAGTTGTCAAAATTCAAAATGGCGGATATAAAATAAAAAATTAATAACTTTTTAAAAATTTGATCGCCATATTGGATCCGCCATTTTGAATTTTGAAAATCTGACATAAGATTAATATCTTGTCACTTTTCATTTAGGGGTTGTTTTCACCCCTAAAAACCACAAACGACTTGATCTAGCAAAACAGCCAGATACGGGTATTTTTTTGGGTCCTAGTTTCCGAAAATGTTAAATTTTTTTGTGGGTCAAAAATTGTGTCGGACGGTGCTTTATATGAAATTTGATTAAGTAAATTGTTGTAAATATCAAGATCGATTAGAAATGTCTTTTAACTTCAAAAATTCCAATACTTCACTATTTGTACCAAACAGAAAATTACGAACATCGACAATTGGGAGTTAATTGAGGTAGCTTCGATAATTGGAGCACTTACCTCATAAGATAATTGTGTTACAAACTTTGGTAGCTTCTCTGAAAAAAGAGGAAACTTTGATGTGAGTCAATTGTATAACATCTCGTGATGAACATAACCATTGGACACAGTTACGGTCAATGGACTTGATCTTCGTAAAGGAATCCTAGACCGTAAAGTAGAAAAAGAAAAGTTAAGCCAGACGCTCCGATTCTCACACTTTTTCTTCTACTTTAAATTTAGCACCAGCCTTTATATATTGTTAAACGAGTAAGCTCTCTATGTAAACTGAAGCAGCAACCAAAAAAAATAAAAACAACAAGTTGCAATAAATCTTTCTGTATTACGAAATATATATTCCTTTCTTTTTTTAAATTTAAACACAAGATAATCCTATTATTTTTGCTTTTCACTATACACAAAGTGTCTTTGCTATAAATACCTTAAGAAACAAAATGTTTGTTTTGTCTGCCGATGATGTGCATTGCAGATTAATTTATTTGTATTTAACTATAAGGAATAGGATACAAAAGTGCCAAGAAAATAATCGAATTGCTTAATTAGCAATTGCAAAATTACTCTTTCGATCCAAATTTTCTCAATTCAATACAAGAATTAAGTAAATTTTAATTTTTTTATAATTAATAATCTTCGAACTTTATATAAATATTTATACATTATTTACCCACTTGGAAAGATTCCCCGAAAAGTGCCCCCTGGAGGTTCTATCAGAATTCCGCCGGAACTTCCAACGTAATTCCGTCGGAATTCCATCGGAGTTCCAAAGAATTTCCGATGGGATTCCGACGGAATTAGGACTCTAAAAATTTTGAAAAAAAATTTAATCGGAATTCCGTCGGAATCCCATCGGAAATTATTTGGAATTCCGACGGAATTACGTTGGAAGTTCCGGTGAAATTCTGATAGAACCTCCAGGGGATACTTTCCGGGGAATATTTCCAAGTGGGTATATAAATTTTTATTTTTTTATAGATATTAAATACTTAGTGTCTTTATCACTTTTATTTATCCTCATTCTTAATTGTTGTTTATATTAATTACTTATCACTAATCACTTAACACTTTTTTTTAACATTAAATAATTGGTTATATTTTATAATTAAATTATTAATTAACATAATTGTCCAAAAATTATTCTACGATTAATATCAAGATAATTTAGATATTAATTAATAATTGTTTATTAGTTTATTAGTTTATAAACAAATATTATCAACTTTATTTTAGAGTCGTCTTTTCTAGGAATAAACTTTTTGAAGTCCTGATTATGATATATTATCCGAAATAATTCTAGAATACTAAAAAATAATTCTGCACTCATTTTGAATTTTTGTACAAACTAATTCCAAACTAATTAGTTCATGAATAATTAAATATATTGTTTATAAAAACGTTTTTTTAGACAAGAACATGAAAAATTGGATTTAAAATAATGTACATATATATATACACACACAATTCACATTCCTAAAGAAACTTGTGCAATTGCTTGCGGTTCGTTGAATGTACAAGGTCTCCATAGATTAGTTGGTTAGTTATAAGAGAGAATCATTCGGGCGTGAATAAAGACGAAAAAATCAACTCTTTTGCGCGCGGGTAAAAGTAACGAGGAAGAAAAGAAAGGATAAGGAAAAGAATAATGCAAATGTGAAAAAGGCGCGCGTTGGTAGAGTTTTCACTTTTTCCTTCATTCTATCTCGGCCAGTGTTCATTCAATCTTCCGGGAAGGCCGTGGAAATTAACGACTTGGAAATTCTAATTCAATGGCAAGGCTGTCGAGCGACACTGCTCTTTTTTCCACGTTTTTTTTTGTCTTTTTCTCTCTCTCAACTGTCTTTTGTCACCATCTGATCAAAAGAACGCGTTTAATAAAAAAAGTCTTTAGCAAAAATTTTATTGACAACCAAATAATTAGACTAATGTGACGAATCCTTATATTTTTTGCTTTCAAATCAAATTTGTAGATTTCAAATTGCACGGTAATTGACAAGCCCAGGCGGTTCTGTTATTAAATCGTGATTTCTAAATTCAAAACTGTATTAAAAGATAATTGAGGAGAGTCCACAGTGGTCTGAAGGACTCGAAAAACTGCCAAAATTCAAAATATAATGGGGATTGGTTGGAACTGCTCACAATAAGATTCTTGAGTTCGCTGAGTCTACATTTCTAGTAAATATAATAAAATAAAAAATAGTAGATATAATATGGCGGATAAAAGTGTTTAAAATTCAATTATTGAACACAAACGTTCTTAGTAGGAAGGTTTTTGCATTCGTAAAATCTGAAACTGTTATAAAAAATAACAATGAACAATTAATAGAATTTGAAAAATAGAAAATTGTAATATTAAAGTTTTAAAATGGATTTTAAATTTAATATTTTTAAACCTTTTTTTTAAAAAGTTACTAAGGTGTTTTTCTATTAAACAATTTAAATTATATATTATAAATGAACATTTGAGAATATTTGCAAATTAAATATTTAATATAATATATTTATTATAATAAATTATTATCATTATATTTAATAAAACATTAACATTTATATATTATTACATTTAGTTAACCTGTACATATATTATTATGAAACCAAAATTGAGCAATTTAAAGAATAAAATTTTTGAAAAAACTTACCTTTAATTAATTAAAAATTTCTGAAAGTATAAATATTAATAGAATATATAAATAATCATTTTTTTAATACATTCACTGTATTTTATAAGAAAATAAATGTTTATAACCAACAATAATAAATGTCAAAAAAGTTTACAAGAGTATATGGAAAAAAAACAAAAGAAGATTCAAAGGTAGATAGAAATATATTATATTTCGATGAATGTGACAAAAGCAATCATTTATTTTACTTGATATAAATAAATATAACTATGTCCAGGTAAAAAAGTAGCAGCAAGTAGCAGCATATTAGAAAATTGATATATTCAGGAGTAAAATGATATATGAAAAACTTTATTTGAGTGGGGTACATCGGAGTACGATGAAACGAAAAAATGTTTCCTTTCATTCGCCGAGAAAAAGTTTGCATAAAAACTAGTTTTGCATCCGAAAATGATTAATTTATTAAAAATACAATACATAAAGGCATTTTAATAACTTGTAAAATAGTTAATAAGTTAAGACATTGAAAGAATGGGACTTCTTTGCAAGTAATACAACTTTTTGCAAAGACTCTGTCATGATTGTTATAAATTATTTATAACTTTTGAATTGTTCTAAAACGTTTTGGCTTTAATACAAATAATTTTAAATATCATTCAAGATTACTATTACTTATTTAGAAAATAATAAAGTTAAATTTGAATTTAATCGATAACCTTAAATTTTGGCAATTTTATAACGCTTTCAGACCACTGTGGAGCCTAGTAAATTATTTATCACCTAATTAACATCTGGATTAAATAAATAAGAAATTTGTTAGAAGAAATCTAGTTTAAGTATCACGGAGAAAAATGGAATTGTTGTGCAAACAATTTTTAGATTGTTGTCAGTAGATTTGTTAATATTACAATTCGAAATGTTAATATTACAATTCGGATTGTTGTCAGTACAAATGTATGTTGTTTTAACAATAATACGAATTTTTTGTTGTCAGTTTTGTTCAGTTTGCAATTCCGTACAGTTGCAGAAGCGAACTCTCTGTCGATTGCTGATGGAACAATCCGGATTTGTTCAGCTGACAAGTTTATTGTTCCATGTCACGTGGTCATCTTGAATTCTCACAAACTGGTGTGCAGATCGTCGCGTCGTTTGCTTCTGTCACATATGTGCCACTTTTGCTTTTATTATTAGTTTTTTTTTTAAATGACGAAGTGCTGTTAAATAATGAATCCGGTTAAAGTGAGAAATCTATTACAAGTGTGGTGAATGGATCAAAAGACAATTTTATCGTTTATCGCGGTAAGTTATACACAGTTTCTATTGAACATAACCTCACCTTAAAAAATACAAAATGTATATTAAATATTATTTAACAACAAATTTCAACTGAAAATAATTTTTTGGTTTCAAGTCAAAGAATTTGATTCTGAAGCTGCATGTTCCACAGATTTTAATGCAAACGTAACTGGTGATATGACCTACGGAAATCTGCTATCGATTATTTTAGAAGGCGAAGAAACTGAACAAATTGTATTAGACGGATCAAAGCTTTGTTAATAAAACAAACTGTATTGCCGATTTAACAATTTAGTTTTGTTATTTCAATTGTTCCATAAAAATTTTCATTGTTCATCAAACAATTCTGTTTGTTCACCGAAAAATCCCATTTTAACAATTTTTTTTTGTCCCAACAACAAATAGAAACTGCTGGTTCTATATTGACAATCCGGAATTGTTGTGTGAACTTAATTTTTAGTAACCACAACAATTCTTTTTTCTCCGTATAAATAGTAATGTAAATAACAATAATGAATATAATAAATAAATATAAATAAATAATAATAGAATTTTTTAATAATAATAATAAAATTAGGTTTACTTTTTCTTGTTAAATATTGTTCCAATTATTTTTTAAAATTAAATTTTCCAATTAAATCAATAATTTAAAGAGTACGCCAATATAAAAAAATTTAAATTGACTCTAATATGACCTTAAACTCCATAATAGGATTGTTGAGCTGTAGATGTACATCCATCTAATCCATAGAAAATTTTTGACAAATTTAGCCGTAATATTTCTTTTATTTTCAGCTGTACATCTTCAAATCAATTGCAAATCATTAACCGCATTTCAATTCGCTTTGGCATTTTTGATTTCTTATTTAAATTTTGAAAAAGCTGTTGGGTAATATATTCGTCGGATAAACAAATTGGTAAATGTTTTCCACAAATCTTGATTAAACTTCTGAAATAGGTGTAAATTATTTTATTAGAATTTCATTTATATTTGAGATATTTTTCTTCGATTTTTGTTCAATTTTATTTTAATTTATCCCTTTAATGAATTAACCTTTTTTGTGTCTTTTATAAATTATTTAGTTTTAGGGTTAACATTTTATTTATTTTTTTTTTTGATAAAAATTTTACCCTCTGGTAATGCTTGACATTTTGTGTGTGGAATCATCATTGTTAAAATTTTTATTAGTTTTATTGAAATCTTGTGATTTAATTTGATTTATTTTTAGTTTGACTATTAGTTTTTCATGCTTTAGTGTGAAAACCTCCCTTCTTTACCATTTAGTTATAAAGTAGCCGAGTAAAACGTAAAGTTTTAGTTCAGGACATCGCAATGGTTATTGGAAGTTTCAAGGTCATCAAGGGATGTGAATCCCAAATATTCAAAAGCACCAGAAAGAAGAAATCGCTGTTTTGTTGACGATCTATCAAAATACTTCTGTCAGTTCTTGAGCAGGTTATTAGTAAAAATATATTAAATTTACTTTTAGGGTTATTTAATTGTTTTCTGATAATTATTTCCAACGAGTACAATTATTATTTCAAATATTTAATTAGTCATTTTCATGCATCATTTAGTTTCTAAACTCTAAATAGAAAATTATAGTTGTGAGGTTATAATATATAGTGGACGAGAGGGAGAGACTAAGTAACCGGAAAAGTTGACAGTGGCTATCTCTCTGAAAGTAGCAAATGATCCGCAATGAAAACTAGGATATTGGGGGCGGTCAAATTGCCTTGAAATGGAGCGCTGAGATCGTGTAATATTGCAGTTGCAATATATTTTGTGGGATACACTATGAAACTTTAGACTGTTTTGAGCTACCAATGCAAAATTGCAACATGCAGGTCGTAAAGGTTTGTACACTGCCACCAACGTGTTTCGTTTCCATAACTATGAATAGAGGTATACATATATATACATTCTATTCCGTTTTTTTAAAAACAACATGAGAACGCACGAGAGTAAAGTAGTCTCATGTTTCATAAAGCCTTCATTCTAATGACAGATATTTATCCGTAATTAGTAAAAAAAAAAAGAAAAAAAAAGGAAACAATACTATTTAATATCTTGATTACAAAGATACTTTCTAAATTTTTACATTTATAATACAGCTTAACTAAAAAATGAAAAT